AATATCACATGCCTCTGTTGTCATAGTGTAAAACTTCCTGTGTTAATTCCATTGCTAACCTCAGGGTCAATTGCAGAATGGAAACCAATTGCACTCTGGTTTAGAAGCAATCACGCCACTGGAGTATGTGCAATTACCTTTCCACGCAGAGACAGCTATCAGATACAAAGAGACTAAAGCACAGAAATGTCACCTGGCCCTGTCACTTCATTTTCTTTTTTTCCTCCACATTAGGAATTACTGTCAGTGGGAACACACAATTTCCCGGAACTTGACGATTCAACTAGTTTGGCATCTTACTTAAAAATTACCATTATTGCTTTTAGCATATGAGCAATTTATTACAGCCTAGAGCAGGCGTCCTCAAACTCTGCCCGCGGGCCACATGCCACCCGCCTAGGACATTTATCCGGCTGGCCGGATGTTTTTACCGACGCTGCCTGTCCTGCTTAGCAGCTGACTCGTCCCGGGCCCACAGTGCGCACTCTCCAGCGGTCTGAGGGACAGTGAACTGGCCCCCTGTTTTAAAAGTTTGAGGACCCCTGGCCTAGTGGTTTGCAGAGTTTTTTCTTGACCGTTTTACTAATGATGGGATGACATATTTTATTTTTCAAAGTCCTTCCTAGATTCTATCAATAGTAAGACACTATTTTTTAAATTGCTATTGAGAAAAATAAAACCACAGTTAAATCATCCTTTATCTCTAGCCCCTTTATTTGGATGCTAAAAGGTTTGGTCATGAGGCCAAAAATTGGAAGCCATTAAATTCATTTCTCTCATGCGTTGCGAAGAATTTGGCAGGTAGGTTAGACAGAGTGCTAATCTTCTGTATAACTTTTGGATGGTGACTAGCCTTGTCTTACGGAGACGGAAAGTGAAGAGTATTAATTTATGCAGCATTACACACAGCTGCTGCCCAAGTAAAGTTGTTAATAAATAAGGATAAGGTTAATCATAATCATTAGCATCAACAACGTAACAAGGTCTTATACTAAATGCCAGGCAATACCCTAAACACTTGACACAAATTTACCCTTTTTTACCAGGGTAAAATAAAGGTAACTTAAAATTTACCATCTTAACCATTTTTAAGAGTACACTTCAATCACATTAAGTATATTCACATTGTTGTGTGACCATCCAACTCCAGAATTTTCTCATCTTGCAAAACTTAAAGCCATGTGCCCATTAAACACTGACTCCTCGTTCCCCAATTTTCCCAGTCCTTGGCAACCATCACTCCTACTTTCTGTCTCTGTGAATTTGATGACTCTAGGTACTCATATAAAAGAAATCACATGATATTTGTTCTTTCATGACTGGCTTACTTCACTTAACACGATGTCCTCAAAGTTTATCCGTATTGTGGCACGTGTCAAAATCTCTTTGCTTTTTAAGGCTGAATAATATTCCATTGTACCCATAGATCACATTTGGTTTACCCATTCACCCACAAGTGGACACTTGAGTTGCTTTCACCTGTTGGCTATTGTGAATAAAGCTGCTATGAACATAAATACACAAATATCTCTAGTCCTTGATTTTAATTATTTTACATATATAGCCAGAAGTAGAATTGGATCGTATGATAATTCTAGGTGTCATTTTTTTTAAGGAACTACCATACTATTTTCCACAAAAGCTGTGCTACGTTACATTCCCACCAACAGTGCTCATGGGTTCTAATTTCTCCACATCCTTGCCAACACTTGTCACTTTCTGGTGTTTGTTTTTTTTTGAAACAGAGTCTTACTCTGTTGCCCAGAGTGAGTGAGTGCCATGGCATCAGCCTAGCTCACAGCAACCTCAAACTCCCGGGCTCAAGCAATCCTCCTGCCTCAGCCTCCCGAGTAGCTGGGACTACAGGCATTGCGCCACCATGCCAGGCTAATTTTTTCTATGTATTTTTAGTTGTCCAATTAATTTCTTTGTATTTTTTTTTAGTAGAGATGAGGTCTCACTCTTGCTCAGGCTGGTTTCAAACTCCTGACCTTGAGCGATCCTCCTGCCTCAGCCTCCCAGAGTGCTAGGATTACAGGCGTGAGCCACCGCGCCCAGCTGACTTTCTGGTTTTTTGATAATAGCTATCCTAACAGGTGTAAAGGATTATTTTTATCTCCATTTTATAAGTGAGGAAACTGAGGCAAAGAGAGGTTCAATAACCTGCTCAAGGTCACATTATTATTAACTGGTGAAGAACTAAGACTCAAACCCAGGTCAGAGTTTTGGAGACCACAGCTATTCTCTACTGATCTTCTGAAAATTAGAGCAGCTATGACTTACGGAGTACTTACTATGTGCCAGGCACTGCATTTTACTTTAATTATTTCACTTAATTCTCACAACTAGTCTCCAAGATAGTTCTTATTATTGTATCCACTTTCCTAATGAGGAAGACAGAAAGAAATTAAGTACAGTTGTCCCTTAGTATCTGTGGGGGCTTTGGTTTCAGGACCTCCTGCAGATACCAAAATCCGTGAATACTTAAATCCTTGGTACAAAATGGCATCGTATTCGCATATAATCCATGCACATCCTACCATATACTTTTAAATCATCTCTAAATTACTTATAATACCTAGTACAATGCAAATGTTATATAAATAGTTGTTATATTGTTTTTATTTGTATTATTTTTTATTGTTGTTATTTTTGTGGGTTTTTTAAATATTTGTGATCATTGATTAGTTGAATTCACAGATGCAGAAGCCGCAGATATGAAGGGTCGACTGTAGATTGTCCGGGTTACTTAGCTAGCAAATAACAGAGCTGGGATTCAAATCCAGATGCTGAATCCAGGGCTTGAATAAGTCACCTTTACTCCATGTTGAATTTTGGACAAATAATCATCCCATTAAATTCTTTATCTTTCTGTGTGTCCTCAGTAGTGATATGTTCCCCATCCCTATAGCTAATCAAAGTCCTCTAAATTGGATTTCATAGTGACATGGATCTTTTCACTGCTTAGAGAGGCTGTTGCTGGCATTTGAATGCAATTCCTCAGGGCTTTCCGATGAGCTAAGTGAGCCGAAACATGTACGCCCAATGCAACATTCCTTCCCAGGCAGAGACCAACATTTCATAAGAGTTACGACTCTTAAACAAGCCTCTCATTTACCACTTGGTCCTTCTCAGTTACCTCATTGTTGTCCTTAAGATATTTTCCTCCAATAGGTAATGCTAAAAACAAAATTTTCTCACAGCTTCTCTTGATAACTTTTCCCTCAAATTTATCATCATGTCTTCGGAGCCGACAGGTAAATTTTACCACCCTCACTCTTTGGTGTGCCCCAAAGACCAACGTCCTTGGTGTCCTTCAGAAAGTCTTAAGTCTTCCCAACTGGGCATGAATTGGCTTTGTCAAACATGAGCCCTCAAAGAAATGGGAAATGCTATTCAGAATAATGGGATGTACGCAGTGATGAATGGTTGTGAGTACAGACGTTGGAGCTCACCCAGGCTAGCTTCAAATCCCCGCTCAACCATTTCATAGATGTTTTACTTTGGGCAAACCATTTTCATCTCACCGAGCCTCAGTTTCCCCATCTGGAAAGCATGGGTTTAAAAAAAAAGTGTCTGTGACATGCAGTTTTAAGAGGGTCCAATGAGATCATATCCATCAAAATAGTAGTGTGGTATTTGGCACATGGTAAAGTCTCCGCCATGTTGCCTGTTCTGTTAAATCTCACCAGCGAGATGAATAGCATTCCAAGGGTGGAGATTAATTCTCATTGTCATGTCTGACAAAGAAGAGCCTTTTACATAGTAGGTGATCAAGAAATCTTTTTGAATGACGCTCGCTCATCATATTCATGGAATAGCCAAGATGTTTTCAACATTGTGTCTACAAACGATCCAAAAATCACAAAGTTGCAAAACTAAGAAAGAGCAAAGGTAAAGGTAAAGAGAGAGTGGAGGCCAGGGGAAGCAGGCCTGGGAGACAGGCACGCACAGGAATTCCAGAAGTCGTCATCCTGTGAGATCCACACGTAAAGATTCCTGGTACTTCGGGCCAAAAGAAGTTGGCTGGAGTCTGTGTGTGAAGAGAAGAACTGTTGAGCAAGGGTCTGCGTGTCCCAACGATTCCAGCGTCTCGCCCACCAAAGTCGTCCCCACACTTCTCACCAGCGATTATTCCACTTTTCCACGCCCACGCGTTAGGAAGTTTCTTCTCTCTAGGACATCCTGGGCCAAAACATCTCCATTTGGACCTTTGAATGCAGCCAGGCCTGGAAGCATTTTGCTTGCAGTTGGAATGTTGTAATGTACTAGAAAGCCAGCCCAGCACTTACATCACTGCTAGAATTTGAACTCTACCCCTTTGCTTGTTGTTCTAGAACCAACCTTCACAATATGGTAGCCACTACGCACATATGCCTATTGAAACTTAATTGAAATTAAATAAAATTTGTATTGAGTTCTTCAGTCTTGTTAGGCATACTGCAAGTGCTCAGTAGCCCCTTTGTGTATTAGAGCAGATGTAGAACATTTCCATCATCATAGAAAATTCTGTTGAGCAGTGTTGGTCTAGAAAATAAGTTCAAGTATCATGGAACAAATGAGTCACATGGCAAATAGTGTCATAGCTACTTGAGGAACAAGGGGAACTATTATTTCCCTGCACACTCTGGTACTTTTAATATGTCATAAATTCCTTGACATATCTCCTATGAAAATGTGAACTCGAATTCCCCTTCTTTTGACTGTGGGCCAAAATTGGTGACTTGCTTCCCAGCTGACAGCCAGCATTAAACTCTAGACATGTAAGCCTTTTGATAATTCCAGTATCTAGCCTTTGAGCTATTCCCAGCTAATATCGGGTAGAGCAGCGACAAGATGTGTCTACTATATTGTGTCTATGTTGCAGATTCATGAACCAAATAATATCGTTGGCTCCAGCTATTATATTTGGCGTGGTTCATTATACATCAATAGGTAACTAGAACATACATATTCTCAAAAAGTTGCACATTTTTAATGACGTCTCTTTAGTGAAATGTCTTTAATGAATCTTTAATGGAGTTCGAACTATGCCAAAAAGAGATTAGATGAACACAAGAGTCCTTCTCTTCAGTACCTGAATGAAACATCAATGGTCAGAACATGAAACAAATAGAGACAATAGGGGAATTATGATACGCTTTTAAAAATGCTAACTCCTCCACCATCCAATTCTACAAATTCTACCTCTGGCCTGGACCCTGCCTCCAGCCCATCCTCAATGGCGAAGAAATGGCACCATCTTTTCATGCTCACTCTACAGATGTCAGAACTTTCAATGTCACGGAAGCTCTACAATTCTCCCTAGGGGTTACGATGTGATTGGAAGAGGACTTGTCTTGATGCTGTACCTGCACAGAAGCCTTGATGTTGTTATAATAATAGTATATGTGATAGTTAAAATAGCAAAGATTTCTAAAGATGCTTCTATTTTTAATTTATCAGAAATTGAAAAAAAATGTTTATTGTCCTTATAAAAATATTTTTCTTAGGGTCAAACATGCTGGCTCATTCCTATAATCCCAGCATTTTGGAAGGCCACGGCAGGAGGATTGCTTGAGGCCAGGAGTTCAAGACCAGCCTAGGCAACATAGTGAGATGACCCCACCCCTGACTGTACAAAAAATAAAATTTAAAAAAAAAAACAAAAAACATTAGCCAGGCATGGTGGTGCACACCTGTAGTCATAGCTACTAAAGAGGTGAGGCGGGAGGATTGCTTGAGCCCAGGAGTTTGTAGTTCCAAAGAGCTATGATAATGCCACTGCACTCCAGCCTAGGCAACAGAGCAAGACCCCATCTCTAAAAAATTAAAAACAACAACAACAAAAAAATAACTTTTCTTAATCTGCTTTCATTTTGATTAGTTTTTGATTTTCCCAAAAGTAGATGCTGATACAAAGACTTGGGTGTCAGTAGCTTATTTGAGTGTGGTGGATGGGTAGATAGGAAATGAGCAAGACCAAATACAAGGGTACATTGTCAAGTAGATGGCTACTAGGTGATACTGGAAGCTTAATCCCATCTGACTGTCAGAGAAGCTTGATCTACCCCAGAGGAATAAAGGAGGAGGCACTTATCCGTTGGCTCCTATTTTTGGTGGATCAACTGCTGCCCACAGACTGGCCAAAGCATGAGTGGAATCAGTTGTCTCAGGTTGGCTGAAATAAGAGGTAAGGATAAGAGAAGATTGGAAGCTTCGAGTTGGTACATAAGATGTGTCTGGTACAGTCCAGCTTTTGAACCATCAGCTATGCTTTTGGTCTCTAAACTCAAACAATGACTGCCTCCTTCAACATAAGACCACAATCTCTGCAAAGATTTAATGCAAAGGGGTCAGTGAACCAGGTATCATATTAATGCTGCAGCCTGTCCTGAAGCTATAAACAACATTCAATTAATCTCTCTTGCACCAGCCATGCAAGATGCCTATAATGGTTCATTTTAGGTGTCAACTTGACTGGAGTAAGAGATACCAAGATAACTGGTAAAGCATTATTTCTGAATATGTCTGCAAGGGTGATTCTGGAAGAGATGAACACGTGAATCAGCAGGAAAAGTAAGGAAGATCTACACTCACCCAATGTGAGCAGACACCATCCAATCAGCTGAGGGCCTGGATAGGACAAAGAGGCAAAGGAAAGGCAAATTCTCTTTCTTCTCTTCTCTTCTCTTCTCTTCTCTTCTCTTCTCTTCTCTTCTCTTCTCTTCTCTTCTCTTCTCTCTCTCCCCCCTCCCTCCCTCCCCCTCCCTCCTTCCCCTCTTCTTTCTTTCTCTCTTTCTCCTCTCTCTCTCTCTGTCTCCTTCCCTCTCTTTCTTTCTCTCTCTCTGTCTCTCTTTCTCTCTCTCTTCTTTCTCTCTCTCTCTTTCCCTCACTCTCTCTCTCCTCTGTCTGTCTGTCTCCCTCTCTCTCTCTCCTCTCTCACTCTGTCTCCCTCCCTCTCTTCCTCTCTGTCTCTCTCTCTGTCTCTCTCTGTCTCCCTCCCTCTCTCTCTTCTTTCTCACTCTCTCTTCTTTCTCTCTCTCTCTCTGTCTCCCTCCCTCCCTCTCCCTCTCTCTCCCTTCTCTCTCCCCCTCCTCTTCCCTCCCCCCTCCTCTCCTCTCTCTTCTCTCTCTCACCTCTCACTCTGTCTCCCTCCCTCTCTTCCTCTCTGTCTCTCTCTCTGTCTCTCTCTGTCTCCCTCCCTGTCTTTCTTCTTTCTCTCTCTCTGTCTCCCTCCCTCTCTCTCCCTCTCTCTCCCTTCTCTCTCCCCCTCCCCTCCCCTCCCCTCCTCTCCTCTCCACTCTCTTCCCCTCCTCTCTCCTCTCTCCTCTCTTCTCTCTACTCTCTTTTCTCTTCTCTCTTCTCTCCCCTCTCCTTTCTCCTCTCTCCTCTCTCCTCTCTCTTCTCTGTCTCTCCCTCTTCCCCTGCAGAACTGGAACACCCTTCTCCTGCCTTTGCACATCAGAATGCTAGGTTTTCTGGCCTTTGGTCTCCAGGACTTCCCCAGGTTCTCAGGCCTTTGGTGTCATAGTGAGAATTACCAGTTTCCCTGGTTCTAAGGCTTCGGGACTTGGACTATGCCATGCTACTACCTTCTTTGGCTCTCCAGCATGCACACAGCCTATGATGGAACTTCTCAGCCTCCACAATTGCTTGAGCCAATTCCCCTAAGTCCCCTCCTGTCTATCTCTCTCCTATTGCGTATGTCTTTCTAGAGAATCTTGACTAGTACAATACCCTTCTCTCTTGGCTAGTAGTTCAGCTGGGATGCTTGCCTGGTAGGGTGACCAAAATCCCTACCTTCAGAGGACCTGAGTCTTTAGTTTCTTTGCCATTGTGGGGACTGTGGTTGTTGAGTTGTTGATACACCATTATCAATAGGCAAGGAAGCATGAATTGACACCTCAAAGAATGCCTGAGTTTCAGGCATAGTTCTCACCATCCCATAATACAGCAGCAACCCTGGCTTCTCATGGTGATGAGAGTCGATGGCATGCACTACTGCAGCAATTCTTTCCTTTGACTGCTGGTCAACTGTCATGAGAAACTGCAAGTAACCCACACCTCAGTTAGACAACTGAGTTATTTGGACACACATCAGCTACCTGATCCTTTGAGATAACCATACTCTTTTGTCATATTTCATTTGCAGAGGAAGCATAAGAAATAAATGCACACAAGGGTATAATTTGAGAGATGGGATTTGAGAAGAATATTCAGACACAGATACCTGTTCCCTTCTTAATATTCAAACAATATTCTCAAAAACAATAGTCTCATTCTATATGCTGTACTTCCTGTGGGGGTTTCAGAATTTTTCTTTAGGTACCACTTTTCTGAGTAGAAGTGAATAGCCAAGGGGCAGACCATAGAAAATCAAACTGGTTTTATTTAGTATGTTTATTTGGGGTGGATTTCAGCATGGTAAAATAGCACCCCTTGGGCACTATCTAAGTATACTGCTCAGGTAGGAGAGAAGATTGTGTATTTTGCTACAATTTTCCCCACTAATGACTATAATAGGAGCTCATCATAGCACATGACTTCTTGTGGTCTATTTCCATCAGCGAGGACTCCTTTCTAATCCAGTTACAGCTGCAGTGGACCGTTCCACCCACCTCGTGCTAGCAGGTAGCTCTCACCTCAAGTGCCCACACCTTACTTTCTGCTCCAGTACCTTCTCTGGCTCGTCTAGAATCTACTAGACCCAGAGCAAGCCCAGATCCTAAGTATGAGGGCATTTATGCCCCTAGGGGAAATCCTCACCAAAGGGGGATTGGGGGTGGATAAAAGCCCCAGCCTTCCATCTTTGGGGTAGACAGTGCTGAGAAGCATTCGACACACTTCAATGTCCCAGCAGAATCGAGCCATCATTTCCCAGAGTGATAACCTCGGTAACTAATATTGGCTTTTGTTCCTTCCTCGTTTCATCCTTTTCACTTTCTCACTCTTGATGCTTGGGATCAGCTCCCATTTGAAAAGACATAAAGCAGACTTCAAAAAAAGAAAATTATCAGGGATAAAATAAGGCATTTCATAGTGGAACAAAAAAAAGATCAATTCTCTAAGACAACATAACAAGTGTGTACCTAACAACAGAATGTCAAATACATGAGGTAAAAACTGATATATACCTGCAAAGAGAAATCGATGAATCCACTGTTATAGTTGGAGATTTATACGCCAACTCAGTCAGGTGACAAAAGCTGATATAGACAGTGAAACTTCATATTGGCAGTAGTTTCCCTGCTGTAGGTGAAAATGGTGCTTTGCCTCTGTGATTCTCATCCCCAAAACCCAGTCTAACCATAAGAAAGATATCAGACAAGCCCAAATTGAAGACATTCTTCAAGATACCTGGCCAGTATTACTCCAAACCAGGCGCCCTCAAACTACGGCTCATGGGCCACATGTGGGTGGTTTTGCCCATTTGTATTTTTACTTCAAAATAAGATATGTGCAGTGTGCCTAGGAATCTGTTCATAGTTTTTTTTTTGTTTTTTTTTTAACTATAGTCCGGCCCTCCAACGGTCTGAGGGACAGTGAACTGGCCCCCTGTTTAAAAAATTTGAGGACCCCTGCTCCAAACTGTCAAGATTATCAAAAACAAGGACAGACAAAGAAACTGACACAGCCAAGAGAGGAGCCTAAGGGGACAAGATGACTAAATGCAATGTGGCATCCTGGGACAGAAAAAGAACATTAGGTTTAAAAAAAAAAAAAACACTAAGAAAATACTAGTAAAGCATGTAAAGTATAAACTGTAATAAAATAATAATGTATTAATATTGGTTCATTAATTATATCAAATGTACCATACTAATGTAAGCTGTTAATAATTCAGGAAACTGAGTGTGAAGTATATGGGAATTCTCTGTACTACCTTCGAAATTTTTTTTATAAATCTAAAACTGATTTAAAAATTAAGTTTTTTGCCGGGCGTGGTGGCTCACGCCTGTAATCCTAGCACTTTGGGAGGCCGAGGCGGGCGGATCGCTCAAGGTCTGGAGTTCGAAACCAGCCTGAGCGAGACCCCGTCTCTACCAAAAATAGAAATAAATTAATTGACGAACTAAAAATATATATACAAAAAAA